CATGTCACCCCCATCCCCCCACAGGGCTGTTCCCGGGCCGGGGTCCCGCGGCCGTGCTGCTGGGGACGTCGTTGGCCTCGGGGGCGGCCTCGCTGTGGCTGGGGGGGGTCCTGGCCTTCGGCCTCCGCGACCTCTGCCTGGTCTGCATCACCACCTACGGCCTCAACGGCCTCCTCCTCCTCCTCAACCTGCGCCGGTGGAGGCGCCTCCCCCGACCCAAAACACAATGAAACGCACCCAAAAACACACGTCCGGACGCAAAAAAGACCCCCGGAACAACCCAGCTGCCTGGAACGCCATTGAAAATACCCTAAAATGGCTTGAAACGCACCCAAAATACCCCAAAATGGCTTGAAACGAACCCAAAAAATACCCTGAAACACCCACTGCTCCAAACCGGCCTGAAACGCACCCAAAATACCCCAAAATGGCTTGAAAAGCACCCAAAAAAACCATAAAATGGCCTGAAACGCGATCAAAAATACCCCAAAATGGCTTGAAACGAACCCAAAAAATACCCTGAAACACCCACTGCTCCAAACCGGCCTGAAACGCACCCAAAATACCCCAAAATGGCTTGAAACGCACCCAAAAATACCATAAAATGGCATGAAGTGCCCCCCAAAACAGCCACCGCGCCCAAAACCGCCTGAAACGCACCCAAAAATACCCCAGCTGCCTGGAACGCGATCAAAAATACCCCAAAATGGCCTGAAATGCACCCAAAAAATATCCACTGGCCCCAAAACCACATGAAATGCACCCAAAAAACGCCCCAACTGCCTGGAACGCCATCGAAATACCCCAAAATGGCTTGAAACGCACCCAAAAAATACCCCATCTGCCTGGAATGCAATCGAAAATACCCCAAACCAGCCTGAAACGCACCCAAAAAACACCCACTGCCCCCAAAATGGCCTGAAACGCACCCAAAAAATACCCCCAAATCTCAAAACTGCCTGAAATGCACCCAAAAAATACCCACCGCCCCCAAAACCACCTGAAACGCACCCAAAAAAGTGCCAACCTGCGCCGCTGGAGGCGCCTCCCCCGCCCCAAAACACACTGAAACGCACCCAAAAACACACCCCCCGGCGCAAAAACCACCCCTGGAACAACCCAGCTGCACGGAACGCCATCGGAAATACCCCAAAACGGCTTGAAACGCACCCAAAATGCCCCAAAATGGCCTGAAACGCAATCAAAAATACCATAAAATGGCATGAAACGCACCCAAAATACCCCAAAATGGCATAAAACGCACCCAAAATACCATAAAATGGCCTGAAACACGATCAAAAATACCCCAAAATGGCTTGAAACGCACCCAAAAAATACCCTGAAACACCCACTGCTCCAAACCGGCCTGAAACGCACCCAAAATACCCCAAAATGGCTTGAAACGCACCCAAAAATACCATAAAATGGCATGAAGTGCCCCCCAAAACAGCCACCGCGCCCAAAACCGCCTGAAACGCACCCAAAAATACCCCAGCTGCCTGGAACGCGATCAAAAATACCCCAAAATGGCCTGAAATGCACCCAAAAAATATCCACTGGCCCCAAAAGCACCTGAAATGCACCAAAAAAACGCCCCATCTGCCGGGA